GTGCTGCATCTCGTATGCCTTCGCCTGGATGGCTGCGCGCTCCAGGTTCAGGACGACCCGCATCGCTTCGCGCTTGTTGGCTTCTTCCTGATGCTCGTGGGCCATCTGCTGATAGTTCACTGCGATCCGCAGCTCCTCCTCCTTATAAGCGCTGTGGCGGGCGCATCTCTCCTGGTACTCCGCCTCCGCCATCTCCTGCATCGCCTTCTCGTTGTGCTCCTGCGCCATCTTGTACCACTGGGCCTCTTGGGTTGCCATCTCTCTCACAACTTGCTCCTCCTGCCTGGCCTTCTGGACCTGCTGCGTGTAGATGGCTGCTCTTCTCTGGTCTTCCTTGTGCATCTCCTCGCGCAAGGTCTTCTTTTCCATCTCGATATGCATTTGCAGGTCTGCGAGCATCCCTTTGGCCCTTTCCTCCTGTGTCCTCTGGGTGCCTCTTTGTGCTTCGTATGCTTTTGCTTCCTCCTCCTCTAGCTTGGCGTTGTGGTGCCGCTTGAGAGCGTTGACCTCCCATATGTGCCACTTCTCCTGCTTGGCCAACTGCTCTTCGGTCGTGTGGTACATCTTTTGCGCGATGGTCTGCTCGTAGGCCTTCAGTTCGCTTTTGTGCTTGAACTCTGCTTGTGCAAGTAGGTCGCTTTGCTGCTGTTCTTTTTTCTGCTGCGAATCAAGCCTCTCGGTCAATCTCCTGATGGCGTCTTTGATCTCGTCTGATGCTGCTGGGACTGGTCGGGGCTGCTGGGCTGGGGCTGGCTGAGCTGTGGCTGGTTGGGCCATGGCCGGAGCCGCTGGAGCTGCCGCAGGGTCGCGCCTTCTCCTCGCGGCTGGGTGTGGCGTGCGTCCTCTGGTGGGATCATGGCTCCCGTCTTCCTCGGATGATTCGTCCTTTACTCCCGCCGACTTGGCCATTTGATCTCTGGTTTCCCTCATCAGGGTTTTGTAGACCCTGATGGTTCTGGCTGCCGTCGCCTCCTGGTCCAGCATCTTGCTGAGCCGCTTCTCCATCTCTGCATGCTCCTCCTCCAGCTTTTCCAGCGTGGCCCTGAGCTGCCTCATGCGTTCTTTGTGGGGCAGGACGAAGGAGATGTTCGTGGCGGTGATCGCCGCTTCCTGCTCGAGGCTGGTTGTGCACAAGCCGGCCAGCCTAGCACCTGCGATGTTCTCGGTGAGACGCCCCAGCCTGTGGCACTTGGTCTTGTACCACACGAACCTCATCTCTTCGTCATCTGGAGGTGCGGACCAGCTCTCGTGCTCCATCGCGACGGCGAAGGAGACTGGCGTGATGCTGTCCAGGACTGCCTTCTGCTGGGGGCTGTACTGGTAGCTGCCGATGTGGGCTGCGGCAGGCATGTCGAGCTGGTCCCTTCTTCTGCGCCTGCCGCTTCTCTTTCTGGCTGAGGCGCTCCTCCAGGGCGCTCTGTGCTTCCAGTGCTGGTCGCTGTCGCTTTGCTGCTGGTGCTTGTGGGTCTGTGGCTGCTGCTGCTGCTGCTGGTGGCGCTTGTGGGTCTGTGGCTGCTGCTGCTGCTGCTGACTATGCTGCTGCCACTCCCAGGGCCGCCCACCAATGGCTCCGTAGTCGCCAGTCCAGTCTGCGCTGCGCTGGCGCTGCGCCTGGGCTGTGGACCCTGCTCCTGTCCACCTTTTCCCAGGGCCGCGCTGAGACGCCTCGAGGTGTGTGGTCCCTGCTCCTGACCACCTTTCCCTCGAGGCGCCGCGCTGCTGCTGCTGCTTCCAACTCTTCGCCATGTTGTCGAAGGGCTGTGCTGAGTGATGATCTGCAAGTAGTCTGGAGGCCTCGACTACCTTCAAGAGTGTCCTGGCGTGGCCTCGCGCTATGCGGGCCCTCCTGTGCCAACTTTCTTCCTTCTGCCTGGGCGTCTTTCTTTAGCCTAGGCGTCGCGGCCGCGGCGCTTCTCTTCAGCTTTGCTTCTTTAATGGCGCCGCGGCGCGCTGGCCCGGGCTGACGGGGCTGGCCGAACGAGGGGACGACACGACCCCACGCGGCGGCGGGCCCCTCCTCAGCCCGTGGCTTCCTCCTCCTCCTCCTCCTCCTCCTCCTCCTCCTCCTCCTCCTCCTCCCCCTCCTTCCCTCCTCCTTCCCTCCTCCTCCTCCTCCTCCTCCTCCTCCTCCTCCTCCTCCTCCTCCTCCTCCTCCTCCTTCCCTGCTCCTCCTCCTCCTCCTCCTCCTCCTTCCCCATCCTCCTCCTCCTCCTCCTCCTCCTCCTCCTCCTTCTCCTCGGGACCTCCCCCCTGACTGTTCGCGAGGGGCCTGTTGAGGCCACCCGGGACTAATCGGGGAGGGGGGGGGGCATGCGGAGGCCAACCAGGACTACACGCGGGTCGCTGAAAGCAGGTATTTTTGGATTCCCAGAGCCCAATCTACTTCAAGCGCCTTCCTACTTCAAGAATCGACGCGCTTTTGCGGTGTTTTGTAATTCCCTGGGGGGGCCTGGACCCAATCCACATAATCCGCCTTCCTACTTCATGTTTCTACCTACTTCTTCCAACCGACGTGTACCTGGGCGCCGCATCGCCGCCACATCGATGATGCGGCTCGATGCGGAGCCCGAATTTCTCCGCGCCGACGTGGCCGATCTTTCGCTGGTGGATCAGCAATGCAGTGGCGATGCGGCGAGATCCTCCGACCCCAAATGCTCGGACCCCGTTTGCGAGGCCTCCAGCTCTGGCGAGGAGGCAAGGTGCTTCACAATTTTCGGCTCTCAGGGTCCCCATGCCCTAGTCCAGGCCCCAGGGATGTCAAACAACGGCTCAGGAGGAAAAGCTGGTCTCCAGGAAGGGGTCCAGACCTTTGGGGAGCCACGTTGCGCACAAAAACACGACGTCGGATGTATGGGTACATCGGTAAAGCGTTCTGGAACGCTTTCAGATCGTCCCAGAGCGCTCCAGAATGGCCGCGGTACCCGACGCATTCAAACAAGACCCGCCGCCCCTCAGAATGTCCTGATTGATCCTTGTCCGAATTTGTCCTCGTCATGTATTTCCAGACCATCGACGTTGCCATTTTTTCTCACAGCGCGGACCCCTCCTTCCCTGGGGCCGATTTCCCATCTTGAGTCGGTCTTGGACGGCCCCAGGGCCCGGCGAGGGCCCTCAGAGACCGAAGCTAGCACAAACTGTCCGTCGTTATTTTTCACGACGCGAGGAGGTAATTGCTGGAGGCTTTAAAAAAAGAGGCTTTGCCTTCGAGGATCCAAGGAGTCGTCATCGCTTCCTCGGCGGAAGGTGGCGGAAGGGCGGCGGAAGATCGGCGGAAGGCGGTAGAAGTAAAAAACGCTTCCAAGAGATGACAATGTTCTTGGGTTCAGGGTTTCCGGAATCGGCCATCTGGGTTTGTCCTAAGCCACGACGACGGCGACGACGCCGCTGTTCGCCACCGCCGACCGACGCGCGCCCGCCCTCTGGACGCGTGCGGTCGTCGAGACGCCCCCTCCCCCCTAGCAGAGCACCAGAGAGGAGGGGTCCCTCCGTCGCCAGGAAGCAAGCTCTCGGAGGCCTGGAGGTTGGCACCAACACGAATGTCGGCAGTGTGCCTCCACCGAGGAGAGATGGTCTCGATCTCGGTGATGAAGGCAAAAGCACAATAAAATGAACATTCGGCGCTCCGCGCGGATTTTTCTTGGATCTGCGTTGGGCCCCCCCCCCCTCGCTGGCGCGCGGAGCGCGCCAGGATCGGCGCCAGAGGCGCCATCAGGGGGGGCCCAGCGCAGATCCAAGAAGTTCGCGCGTACGGTCGAACATGTATGCATATGTTGGTCTTGTCTTTTTCTCAGAAAACAAACTCCCGCCAACATCTAGGATCATCTTCCCCAGGTGGACCCAGCCCTCTGCTTTGGTGTCGATGCCCTTTCCCAGGCCTCCAATACACGGGTTCTGAGCGAACCGGGTCCCGAGGGTGTTCTCCGTTGTCGGGCTCTCGGGGCGCCCCACGGGCCCCAGGACCGTCGGACAACGACCGAGGATGACGAGCTGGCTCTGGGGAAGGCTCCCGGGGTCCAGGACCCGTTGCCCTCACGACCCGCTTGCTCCATGCCAGCTTGGTGTCTGCGCTAGACATCCAACGTTCTGAACAACTCAAGACAGATGTGTTTCGCAGTGTTCGGACTCCTCAGGCTGGTTCTGGACTCCGGGGCCGCCCAAAACACAATGCGGAATGACAAGCTGGGGCAAGGGACGGGACTTCGGGGACCCCGTATTGAACAAATCAAGGTTGACGCATCAGATGATTGGGTGTGGGCATCGTAAATTCTTCCCTCGTTTTGGCAGTTCTGGCCCTCCTGGGAGGCCCGCGTTACCACGGCTGGATTGGCCTCGGCCGATGTTCATGGTCAGACCGCACCTCGAGCGAGCCGCAGCTGGGGACCCTCACATATCGATCCGAGTGGGAAAGGAGCCGCGTGAGCTTTTTGGGGCAAGGGTTCTAGTCTTAGCTTAGCATTGCGTTTCTGCTTGTTGGTGGCGCCAGGTCTCGCGGAGGATGAGGAGAAGATGGGCTTGTAGTAAGTTGTACCAACCGCCGCCCTGGACGTTATCAGCATGGAAGTCCCTGTGGGCTTTGGGAGTCTCGGGGAGGACTAAGAACATCCCAAATCCATGATCGTCGCGTGCAGAACTTAGCAGTAGTAGGAAGAGGAGGGCCAGTGACTCCGGCTGGCCTGGTGCACTCTGCTGGCACCATCGTCTGCACATTTGCTTCGATGTTGCATCGTGCCTAAAAACGAGGAGGAAGAGGAGGAGGAGTAGGAGGAGGAGGAGGAGGAGGAGGAGGCGGACGAAGATGAGGAGGAGGAGGATGGCGACGTGGAGGAACGAGATAAGTTGGATGATGTCGAGGACTGGCGGAAGAGGATGCGGGGGAGGAGGAGGAGGAGGAGGAGGAGGAGGAGGAGGAGGAGGAGGAGGAGGAGGAGGCCGACGAGGAGGAGAACGACGAGGAGCAGGCGGAGGGGGGGAGGACGCTCCCTCCCCTCCCCTCCGGGGAGGCTCGGCTGAGCACGCCGGCCCACCGCCGGTGGAAGTGGTCGTCGCCGCCTGGGACCACGCGCCGACGTGGGAGCACAAGCTGTGCCCCGCTCAGCGAAGCACCCAGACATCGTCGTCGAGGAGGAGGAGGAGGCGAGGCCGACGACAACGACGACTACTGCGACGACGGCGACAAAACACGGCGGCGGTTTTTGAGGCGTCCATCGGAGGAGGGCCAGTCGAGACAACGGTGGTCCTCCCTTGCGTATTTCGCCCTTTGGCAGGGCCTCCTGGGGTCTCGTCGCCAGGGCTGGAAGCACCTCCAGGGGCGGGACGCCAGGAGGGACCCTGGGAGAGGCCTCGTGGGGCCGATGTTGAGCGGATTGGGGCCGGGCGGGAGAGCCGCAGTTGTCTCAATTGGCCCTCCTCCAACAAAGGACGCCAGTCCCCTCCCCCGACCTAGCTTGTTACGCGGGCCCCTGGGGAGGTCGACCCCTGTCCTGGGGCCGTGCTTCCATCCCGTGTCGCATTATGACAGCCCTCAGGGCCGGGAAGACTGCCTCCATTTGCCGAGACAGGCAGACAGACAGACATACAGGCAGGCAGATCCCGAACGGCTACAGAGCGGCTCCTGCACAGGACACGTTAGTTTGCAGAGTTCGTAACCAATGCACACAGAGACAACAAGACCACACAACGCACCTTAACACAACACACAGCACAGCACAACACACACACACACGCACACACACACACACACACACGCACACGCACACGCACGCGCACACGCACACGCACACGCACACGCACACACACACACACACACGCACACACACACACACACACGCACACAACACACACACACACACACGCGCACACGCGCACACGCACACGCACACGCACACGCACACGCACGCGCACGCGCACACGCACACGCACACGCACACGCACACGCACACGCACACGCACACGCACACACACACACACACGCACACACACACACACACACGCACACACACACACACACGCACGCACGCACAACTCGCGCACACACACATACACACACACACACGCACACGCACACACGCGCCAATGCCCTCACTCAGACGCCGTCCGTCCGTCCACTGGTCCAGAGCAGCCCTCAACAAATGCCCAGCCCAGAGACCGTCTGAGAGGACGGTTCGGGATGAACGGCATGGCCCCGGGGAGAGAGTCGAGGCTCCTCAAGGCCCCGTATCGACTGACGGATCATATCTCTGGGGTTTCCATGTATGCAGCATTCGCAAGGGCACTGTCTGACACGTTTGCTCAGCGTGCAACGCCACCAGGTCTGGCCAACCACGCTTCGGCGCGACATGCTAACCACGTCCTAGCCCACAGGCGGATCGTCTCTCGTCAGCGGCCGCACGTGCAGTTTCCGAGGGAGAGACGCACCGTGGCCCCCAATCGCAAGCTCCACCCAAGGTCCCAGAGGGCGCGGGCACATGCCGCCCCCGGCTCACGTCGGCACGCCGCTCACATGCTTGGTGCCCCCAGTGGGAGCTCCACCCACGGCTCCAGAGGACGCGAGTGCACGCCGCCCCCCGGTCCAGGGTCGGCACGCCGCCCACGCGCTTGGTGCTCTTTCGAGTGTACTCCAGTTTGGGCCAGCGGAGGGCCTCGTGTTCTTGAAGGATGTTCTTTTGGGGGGGTGGCACCCTCGAGTGTTCTTCAGTTTGGGCCGGCAGAGGGCCTCGTGTTCTTGAAGGATGCTCGTCTGTCCCAGGCCTGGCCGTAATACAGAACGCAGAACAATTACCCTGACGAAGGACCCAACCATATGCAGCTGCGAGTGCCGCATTGTAGGTACCGCTTTCGGTGGAGCTCCCTATGGGGCCACGAAACGTGCGAGAGGTGCGCCGAAATCGGTATGGCGCGGACGCATATGGACCCTGCCACTGGGACCTTCGGTGGAGCTCCCTATGGGGCCACGAAGCGTTGTCCTGGGTGGCGGGGACGCATGCGAACTGCGCCATTGGGACCTTCGTTTGAGCTCCTTATGGGGCCACGAAGCGCTGTCATGGGTGGCGTTGACGCAGGCGGACCCTGCCACTGGAGCCTTCGGTGGAGCTCCCTGTGGGTCCACGAAACTTTATCTTGGGTGGCTGAACCACAGGGAGGTGACGAGGCGGATGGGAGGAGGGAGGATGGGGACGAGGAGGGGGAGGACGAGGACAGGAGAGGAGAGGAGAGGAGAGGAGTGGAGAGGAGGAGTGACGCGGGGCGCCGCCTCTTCGAAACGAGGGCCCAACACCACAGCATGGCTGGGAAACGCCGGAGTTGCGCCTTTTCCAAGCCGGTGTCGGCCTCTCCCCCCCGCTCGTCTGCCTCCTCCCTCGCTGTGGCTCGTGGGGGCCCGCCGCACGAGAGCCGTGCGCATTCGCGCCGCCGGCCGGCGGCCGCCTCGGGGCCGCCGGGCGCCCTCCTGCACCGAGGCTGTCCCGCATTCGGCCGCCTCCTCGGCGGGGGGGGGGAGGGCTGCTCTCTCCTGTCGGCGGCGAGGGGGGGGGGGGGTAAAACAGGGCTAGGATCGGGATAAATCGCTCCAGAGCGTTCCGGAGCGCTCTCAGAGCGTTCCGAAACGCTCTGGAGCGGCCGCGGCGCCCAATACATCCTCCAAACCCGCCGATTCTCAGAGATTTCGAGTTGTCCCAATCCGATTTTGTCCCGATCTTCGCGTTGTTTTAGTGTGGGGGAGCGAGAAGGAGGGCGTGTCGTCTCAGAAGGCCGAGGGGCTCCTCGGAAGCCCCCCGCGGCCGTGCGAGGAGCTCCCCGTGTCTCCAGGGAGGGCGCAGGGGACTTCTCGCAGGGCCGGCCCTCTCGGACTTCCACTCCCCCCGGGCTGGTCGCTGATCCTTGCAGGACTCGGGCTGGTATGCACAGAGCAGCGCGGAGAGAAGTCGAGTCCTCGTGGGTCCTCCTGCTGGGAATGGCGATGTGTCGTCACGCCTGCCCTCCACACGGCCTGCGGAACCTGCTGGCACGTCCAGGCAACTGGCGCGCTCGTGAGAAAGGGCTGGACGTGACGTGGCGTTCCCCTCCCTCTCCCGCTTGGTCGCCGTCTCTTCCTCCTCCTCCTTCGCATGACAGCCTGTTCTTCCCGGAGCCTCGAGGAAGCGGCTGTCATGCGATTGCGAATGTCAGCTCGACCTGCATGTTGGCCGCCACCTGGGGGGCTCTCTACCTCTCTCGAGAGAGGGAGAGAGCCTCGCTCCCGAGGGGTCGAGGAGATGTGCCTCTTCCTCGGCGGGAGGCCTGTGGAAGGCGGGCGGGAGCCTGCGGAGGGAGGGCCTTCTTGAGCGGGCTTCGCCGAAAAGGCGTGCGGGTGCGTCCGGCACGGAGGAGGAGGAGGAGGAGGAGGAGGAGGAGGAGGAGGAGGAGGAGAATACCAGATATTTCTTTCGGGCCTCGCCTCGCCACGCCCCCCACCTCCTTCCATGCAAGCCAGCCTGCCAGAGTCAACGAACAAACCACGTTCTGGGAGCGGCTCTGCTGGCGGCAGCCGGCAGAGGTCAGCGGAGGAAGCCTCGGCGGCTCAGGATCGTTCGACTCAACAGGTGAGCTCAGGGTCGCAATTCCCTGACCAGCTTCCTCACGTTTCGCAGCCATGTATTAATTCGTCCCACATAGCCGCAATTGCTGCTGAGGAGGGCTCTCGCTGGCCAGGCGATCGCTGCGGCGTTGCCCGTCGCCGCAGGACCGCAGACAGACGTTCGAGACGCTTTCTCGCGGGAGCACGGGCGCATGATGGAGAAGCGCGCCCTGCGAAGGGCGATCCGGCGGATCCAAATTTTCGGGGAGGTGTGGTATCGAGTGCGTCAGTACGAACGTTCTTCAGCAGCCACGCTTGCCCCCCCCGTCCTCATCACAGATATGCAATCCCCCCTTGCACCAGGACCGCGCCCACTTCTTCTTCTTCTTCCTCCCCTCCGGCTTCTGGCTCTCTTCGGCAGGCCAGACATCGACGGCGTCAGTAACTTATTCAACTTTGGAGCTTGAGCGTCAAAAGTTTGCGGTCGCTGGATAGACTCGGAGAACTTCTTCGTTTAGCGAAAAGCTCCGGAATCGTTATCTTTTGCGCGCAGGGTGCCCAATTCGAGAATTCTGGATGTTGGAAATCTTCAGGGTTCCAGTTCGTGCCACTGCCACGCACGAGTTTTCGGGGACGCGACGGATGTCTTATCACATTCTGTCTCCGTTCTTTTGCATCTGCGGAGCTTCGGTGCCAACATGTTTGGATGCCTGGCCGTCTACTGGGGATCTGACTGCGCCGAGCAGGACGCCGAGCACGAGACATTTACGTGCTATGTGGGTACTCGCCCACCAACGAACCCCTTCGCCCACGGGCCGACCAAGATCCCCAGGAGGCCCAGGACGCCCATTATCGGGTTCAGGACAGCTTGTGGCTAGATTGCAGCAAGGCTGTCAGCAGCGTTCCTCAGAGGTGTGCTCTGGTGCTGTGCTTAGACGCGAACGCCACGGTTAGCCCAAATCTCCCTCATGTTGGTGATGCTTGTGTACAACGGCACGAACGGCTCACGAATGCGAATGGCCTGAAGTTTCTCCACTTGCTGCCGGAGCATGAACTCAAAGGTTTAATTGCATTTGAAAGAAAACGCGTCTTTCAGAGACTTGGAAGCATACGGTAGGTGATGGATGGAATATCGTGGATTATGTATGTACCAGGTTTTCGGGGACGTACGGATACAGTGCCAAACCATTGAAAACGCTCCCCGTCAACTTAGGTGGTTACCGGGACCATCGTCCTTTGGAGGCGCGCTTGTATGTTGGACTCCGTTGTCGGCACATTGCCCCTCCACGGCCTCTGCGGTGGAATCGCGATTTGCTTTTACACGACCTTCCTGCAGCTCAGGAGCTGTGTCTAAGGTTTTTCGGAGATGAGAACCACGCACCGCTTCCTCCTGCACGAGTCGCTGCTTTTCGCGATCGTTTAGGGACTTTGACCCGGCCCAAGGGTTTAGACGGTGGTTGGCCTGAATTTTGCGTGCTCGGTCTGTGCTACCCTGAGACAGGCTCTTACTTTAATGCCTTACAGGGTGTCGTCGTTGATTCAGCGATTGGTCTCTATGCCACCCCTCCAGGCACATCCCACACCACAGCGCACTAGGCCGATACTCTTTCGTTGGTGGCAGCAAAGCAACACTCTCAGCGCCAACTGGCGTCAATTTCCTCCACCACTTCCGGCCTTGGCGAGCACCTCCTACACGCGTACAAGACTTTAGCCAAAGCGGCCAAACGAGCGGTCCGATCTGAGCGCCGAACGGAGCTGTCCAGCGTGGCGGATGAGGCCGAACTTGTACATTCTCACGGCAATTTGCGACGTTGCTATGCGATCGTGTGTCGTCTCGCCGCGAAGCCGAACCCGCCGACGGTCAGCATGGTGAACCCACTTTCTGGTCTACCTAGTTTCGACGACGACGAAGACTAGGAGGTCTGAGCCAAGGCCCTGGCTGATATCTTCCAGGCCGAGGAGGCGCCCTTATCTTTCAAGGCTCCGCCGTGCCCATTGAAGGCCCCCGATCATTCTCGCACCATGGATTTCTCAGCGCTGGATGTCTAAAAGGCCATAGGAAAGCAACCGAATCACAAGAGTTGCCCTGTCTTGAATTGGTCCCCTGACCCCGACCGTGCTGAACCTGAGGGTACTGTTGCAGAACTTTGGAAGCTAGGGGTGGATTTTATAGCCGAACCGCTGTGCCAAATATTCCAGGCTTCGCTCGCTCATGCCCGTTGCCCCCAACGGTTCAAGAACGGGGAGGTGGTCAGTCTGGGTGAGCCCAAGGGGGACGGCAGGAACGCCCGGGACCACTATCGAACCCTGAACCTTATTGGTCGCGCTGGCAAGGTGTACTCGAATGTCACGTGCACGACCGGCCTTTCGCAGCATCACTCCCAAGGTGTCGCACGCGCAGTACGGGGCTCTGGCTGGACGGTCGACTCGCGACGCCATCGCACTTGTTGATGAAATTCTTCGGCGATCCAACTTGTCTTGAAGGCGTACCCAGCGCCCCGCCCGACTTCTTGCAGCTGTTTTGTTGGATCTTGAGAAGGCTTTCGGTTTGCTCGACAGGGAAGAGATATGGATGGCTTTCCAGAGGCTTGCGCTATCTAGACATATGGCCCTGGCGGTGGAGGAACTGCACGACTGCGCATATTGTGTCACACGGGACGTTAAAACAACTCGTCCGTGCCGTTGTTTGCGCGTTGGCCTCGTCGAAGGGCCTGCCCTTTTCATCTGCCTGTGCGACAGTATCCTGGCTGACGTCCAAACCCACTTCGAGGAATCCGAGTTCCCTGTTCTATAGGCCTTCTTTGACCCAGCCTTTGAAGGTTATCGCGGCGAACATCCTTTCGGCGTCGAGGAAGAGGGGGCAAGCTGCATTGACGTTTCATTGGTTGCTTTCGTTGATGACTTGCTTTTTTGTCTAGGATGATTTTGGTGCCGTCAATCGTTTCCTAGAGTTTCTGGTGCGCGAGCTGACGGAAGGTAATATCATTGCGAACGAGGCCAACTTTGGTGTGGTTCTCGCTGCCTCTGGCCATGGATGCCGGGCTTTGCTCCGCAGTATCAAACAGCAGGGTATTGGTGTGTTACATGGGCACGGGGGCCAGGCTGTACCTGTCCATGCTCATACTTCCGTTCGGTAGCTCGGGGCGCGGCTGCGCGCGGATGGTTCGATGGCCGAGGAGATGTCGAGTCGTTTCACGTTCGGCGAATGCTGCTCATGGGCGTCTCTCGCAGCGTCGCAATCCTTAGTGAGGTCGGTCGCTTTGTGCGCCATGGAGGTGGCGGTGCCTTCGAGACGCGACGTCACTAAGCCCGAGCGCTGCCAAACCCGTAGGCCCAGACACATCCTGCGTTGCCCTGTTCATTTGGTCAAGACTATCAACTTGGGGGTCCGCCGGAAAGCTAGGGACTATTCTATCGAATACACGCTTTGTTATCGACTGCGATGGTGGCAACACGTTGTTCGGCTTGGGTTGGGGGAAGGGACTGGCGACGATGCGACGCTGGCACTCCGTGCAGTTATATTCGGGCGTTTATTTTTCGAACCCGTCGGACGCACATAGATCACATGCCGGCTACGCCAGCTCAGCGACGATCTCCGAGGGTAATGGGGTTGTCTGGCGGGCGAGGAGCAGGAGGAGGCTCGCGCGCAGTTCGGCCCAAGGTATGGGCACCCTGAGGTATCCCGGAAATGGCTCCTCTGGCTCGCCAGGGCCCGCATTGGTATTCTGAAGAAAGTATTGTCCTTTTCTGCGTCAAGCGACCCACAGGTACATAGAGCTGATCATCCTGCTTGGGTGTTTGTTCCATGCGATATTTGCGGTCAATTCTGCTACGGTGCAAAGGGATCCCAAAACCATAAATTCCCAGTGCACGGGATCGAAGATACGTTAGATGACGTGCCCCTGGATTTCTTGGAGAGGAAGGGGTGCCCGAAATGCGGTAATATAGTCGTTGCTTCGTCATGTTCGCCACCGTTGCCAGGGATTTCGGTGTGTTGCTGATGCTGCTGGGGTAGCTGTTCAGGCCCAAGGGGTTGCTGCAGCTGTCCACCCGCCTGCGCCTCCAGCCGCGCCAGACGTGCCAGCTACTGGCCGTGTTCGCGCCCATCGCCGAGGCGGGCAAGAAGCGGGCCGCGGAGGAGGCGGCGCCGACCGACCACGGCAAGGAAGAGGACGGGGGCGCGACCGCGTTGCCGGCCGACGTCAGGCGCTTCCAGACAGCGATGGCCAAGCTTTTGATGCACCAAGAGGACTTCGTGCGCTCGGGGTCCCGCGACGACAACTTCGTCCTGTCGCTGGTGATGGGGGTCGCCCATCCAGGTGGCGCTAGAGAACGGGGCCAAGGACTACGGGAAGAAGGGGAAGGAGGAGAGGGAGGCAGCGCCCGACCTGGAATCGCACAAGGGGCATCCGCAGGGGAAGTGCCCCGACTGTTTCCTGCCCATGGTGCTGTATCGGATGTGGGAGGCTTGCGAGGCCAAGCAGGAGCAACTCCGCCAGGCCATCCAGCAGGGCGAGGACCCCGCGGCCGCCGAGGAGGCGCTGAAAGCGCTCCGGACGCACGGGGGCCGCGTCTAGGACCCAGACCATCTCATCTCCACGCGGTGCTTCCGCGTGGGCGCGACGGAGGGGGAGGAGGAGAAGGAGGTCACGAAGTGGATTCTTGCATGCAGCCACCACCCGCGCGAACGGCGGCCTGTCCGGAGCCTGCCTGGTGCCGACGCACGGCTGGGCGCCACGAAGCAAACGGGCCAAATTGGTGGAGAGGCTGGCCCTCAAGAGGCAGGGCGGCGCGCCTGGCTCGGGAGGCGGAGCCTGGAAGCCCAAGCAGCACAAGACATGATAGATGTTGCGGGCTCGACGCGGCCTTCCGGCCCCGCTCCTTCGGTGTCGGCATCTTCTGCGACGCGGGAGCCGCGAGCGAAGAGCCAGAGGACCAGTGCGAGTTCGCGCGTGGCGTTCGCTCGGACACAGATAGTATCAATTAGTGCGACCCTGGTTCCACGATCGGGGGCCCAGAGGGCGCGCTCGGGTGCCTCGTCGGCGACTTCCCCACCTTGTTCTCCTGAGTCTTTCGCTTCGGGGCCTGCGCCCTCCGCCTTCCTTGCCCCCCCTCCCGGCCTCCCCCCGCCTCGCCCTCCCTCCCCTCCCCCCGCCCCCGCCCCCCCTCCGAGGCAGCGACCCCTCACGGATTTTTGTCGGTCGTTCTGCCCCCCGGAGACCCTAGAAGATATGGAGACTTGGTATGCGGCCTATCTTCCACTTGTGCCGGGCTCCCTCCAAAGTTTTTGTTTTACAGGTGTTCTGTGCCCCGGAGGGTCTCGATGATACGCATTCCCTGTGATTTGTAGCTTGTCTCTTTCTTTCTCTCCCTCTCTCCCTGCTGTGCGCGAAAGCGGTCAGTTGATTATCCTTACGCGATTTGGTGACAAGGCTTTTCATGTGGGGAGGCTGCGGCCCCCGCCCTCCTCAGGGGAGGGGGGGGGGGGCTGCCCTTCGGGAGCCGTCCTCCTGCTGGTGGGCGCCGCGAAGCGGTGGGGCTGGGAGACGACGATGCCCACCTGCCTTTGCTCGCTCTTCGTCGGGCTTTTGGTTTAGCATAGTGCCTATACCAGCTCCTTTTCGCACGGTATTTCAGAGCCCCTCACTTGACATCATGCGCCGAAGGATCATTGGGGGTAGCGCGCGTATGTGTGCGCGTGGAAGTCCGGGTGAAACGCTCGCATTTTTGGACCCAGGGTTTCTGGAGTCAGCCACCCTGAGATCCGACGTCGCGAACGAATTTCAACGTCGTAAGAGGAGAACTCGATCGGAGCCCCGGGCCACACCTCCCTGCCGCCTTTTCCGAGCCGGATCGATCCGTGAGGGCCCCGTGGCCCGAAGCGGGGCAGCATCGCCCGTTGCGAACAAGGGTGCGGCGCCAGAGCGTCCCGCTGCGGCCGTCCGCCAGAGGGGCACGCCACCGAGGAGGGGGAGGGCAGGGTGCGGCTCTACTGCGGCCCGTCGCTGAACGACACGCGGTGCCAGCGCATCGCCGACCACGGCGCCGAGGAGCCCGCTCGCTCTCGCGGGTCTTGGCGGTGGCCCTGGCACCCTTGGGGCGACAAGAAGAATCGCGGCGGGGGGCTTTTGGGCAAGCTCAGGCCTCCAGGGTCCCTCGCCGGGCCAGCCCCAGGTTGAGGGTTTCTTCGAAGGGCTTAGGCGACCCGTCCTCTTCCTCCTCCTCCTCCTCCTCCTCGTCCTCATCCTCCTCCTCCTGCTCCTCCTCCTCCTCCTCCTCCTCCTCTCTCCTCCTCCTCCTCCTCCTCCTCCTCCTCCTCCTCCTCCTCCTCCTCCTCCTGATTGATTTTGCCGACAGCAGCAGATACACAGGGCGGGGTGCCCCTCCGAGCTATCGGAATTCGACGGCAGGCGGCGCGCTAGCCCGACATCAGCCGGCTGCGACCCAGGAGGCATGGGCCCTCAGGCTCATGCAAGTGCGTGTTGGCGATGTGGAGCTCGCTTGCGCCAAGCATGACAAATGCACGGCACCGTCGCAGGCTCGTCTCTACTCCTGTGTTGTTGGTGAAGGAACGGAAGGCAGGATGAGGAGGCACATTCCGACGGAGGTTGCTACTATTCTCTCCTACCTACTTGTCTCTGTGGCCCTGGAGCCTGTGCAGCACCACGCTTACATGTTAGGCTTTGTGTCGACCTACCTCGGCCACCTTGCTGCCAACGTTGAGCGCCGTCTTGCCAGTGCCCGTGAACGGTCGCTCACGAATTGGATCCGTCAGCACCTGAGGCAGCAATCGGGACCCTTGCATAAGTGGTCAAAGCCGAGGGGATGGAGCATTTCACAGGTCGACACCGCACTGGGCCCATCGAGCTCCCCGAGGGACATATGCGACGTTCAGCGTGGGTCCTGGTCCGACATCTGGAACGGGTGCGACGAGGCCCCAGACCTTCTGTCTCAGAGCGTTTATGATCTGGAGGACGGGGACCTGATTAAAGAAATGCGCGCCCTCTGCTCCAATGGACCTCGGCTTCCACCACTTAGGATAGGAGAGCTCCGACAAGCTGCCCTACAATTCCCACGACGTACGGCTATCGGGTCCGACCAATTCCGACCACGGCATTGGTCTTTGGTTTCCAACGGGGCCTTGGCAGTCTTGGGGTAGTTGTTACACCTGTGTGAATCCTTCGGAACCTGGCCCACCTGCCTCCCCCATGTCCACGTGGTACTCTTGGGCAAACCTACGGGTGGGTATCGCCCTATCGCGCTGCTTCCTTCTATAAACCGACTTTGGGCCAAAGCTCTCCTCTCTTGGGTTCGGTCTTGGGCTAGCCGCCTCAATCGCCATTGTCCTTGGGATCCCGACGTTCAACGACTGACGTTGCTGCGCGGGTATTGGTAGGTGCCGAAGCAGGATGCCACATGCAGCCTGATGCCCAGGCTTCGGTCCATGCCATCGTCGACAATGCTAAATGCTTTGACAGGGTGCCATGGAAACAGCTGCTCAGCTCGGGAGTCATACACGGATTCCCTGGTCAGTTCTTCCTCCTTGCCTTTCGCGTGTATATTGGGGCTAGGAGGTTGGTGTGGGACCACACCTACTCTGCCACTGTCTATGCCAAGACAGGGGTCTTTCCAGGTTGCGCCATGGCCATGTTTGCCCTCCAATGTGTTATGCTTAACTACCTCATGTGATGCTCTCATGCGACGCACCTCGGACATACCCCGTAGCCTCGATGTCTACGCCGATGGTAATCGCTGTGCATGTGTATGGGGTTCTCAGACAGGTGGGCACATGGTCTGCAAAGGTGCTTCGTCTATTGGTACATGTTTTTCATGCCCTAGGCCTCCCGCCCGCGGCGCACAAGATGAAACTCACGAGCTCTGTGCCCAAGTTGGGCCAGTGGGTGGCTCATCACATTCGGGATCTTGGTTCTACTTACGTTTCGGCCCTTGAGGTCCTGGGGATTGAAGTCTCGGGGAGGCCGATCAAGTACACGAAGATTCGTCAGAGGGTTAGGGGCGTTGCCAGAAGAGGCCACGTTTCCAAGCCCTGCGCAAGACGGGGCCGCTCCTCAGCAAGTTTTATAAGCAGGCGCTTCCGCCAGCTATGACGCACGGGCTGGGAGTCCACGGTGCGCCGCCCAGGCTTGTGGAGCAGATGCGCGCCACCCAACGAGGAGCATGGCATGCCACTGGAGCTAGCACCTCTTGCTGGTTCACGGCGTGCTTACAGGGGTCAACCATCACCGACCCACAAGTCGAAGCTTGGGCTGCTCCCCTATTTCAGCGGGCCTTGCTCCTACGGGACCCCACGGTGCCCCAGTCAGTGCTCCGGGCCGCCTGGGTTCGTCAGATTCAGAAGGCGCATCATGCCAAACACCCCTGGAGGAACGTTGCTGGGCCCGCAGGCGCCACCATAATGTCCTTCAAGGAACTGCAATGGGCAACCGTCAGCAGCACCACTTGGAGGACTGATCTTGGGGTGGTTCTAAATCTTAGGGATGATGCGCCGTCCACTATCAAACAACTTGCTCGGGAAGCTGGTGTCCGACGGCCATGGGGACGGTGGGCCCAGAGGGCTCCGCTACCTGGTAATGTGCAGGTACCGCGAGAACCCGCAGGTTATTGGATGGAGCCCGCACTTCGTATACTTGGCCAAGTCGAGGTCCCGGACTCACCTCCTTCCGACTCCTCCGACTGTGGCGATGACGACGACGGCAATCGCACTTCCCCTGGTGGTGTCACTGGAGAACCGTTGAATCAGAGCGAACCTCTTCGGGCATCTTGGGCTCTCAACCACAAGGAGGCAGGGCTCCTCCGAGCGCTGCTAGGCGGCGGCATCTGGACGCCCGCTCGCATGGCTGCCTGTGGCTACCGAGACAAGGGCGCATGCCCCAAGTGCGGACACCAGCCGTGCGACCTATACCACAGTTTGTGGGGCTGCCCGCATATTGCCGGAACGCGGGACCTGCACATGAATGCTATATGCGTGGGCGGCTTCCCGGCAAAAGCTTTTGACTCCATGTTATGGTCCCACCGTCTTGTCGGTCGCTCGTGCTTCCCACCTCTCACGGCTCGTGACAGCGCTGGGCGGTGGCACATACAATATGGGGACCCACGCGGGATCACAGGTGATGTCTACCCAGACGGAGCCTGTCAGAGGATGTGGTACTGACCTAAGGCGTCGCGAGCAGGATGGGGTTTCTGTCAGTTGCGTGAGCCCATGAGGCGGGGGGTAGACATTCTCGTTTTGGGGGCTCCCCCAGGCCTTATACAGTCCTCGCCCAGGACCGAGATATACGCCTTCCTGCAAGTCCTTCAGGTGCGCATTCCTCCGATATGTGTGCACACCGATTTCAAAGGCCTTGTTGATAGCCTGGCCCTGGGTGCCCGATGGCGTTGCGCCCCGAGGCGCTTTAATGTGGATTTGTGGGGTCGCATATGGGCGAAGCTACAGGACCTGGGTGAGCTAGAGACTGAGTTGCCCTGGTCCGAGGCCACCAGCGAGGGCAGCGCGCCGATGCCGTTGGGAATCGGCCGAGATCGTCATGCCATCCCTAAGATAGATGTCAAGGCCATGAGGCTCGGCCGCAAGAATCACGTGCGTCTCCTCAGGTGGGCCGTCACGGCCCTGGCCCAGGTTTTCGACGGCCAGCGCACCGACACCAGGCCCCGTGTGAGGCCTCGTGGCGTTCGATCTCGTCGGCGGCCGCCGCCGAGCGAACCCGGGGCCGTAGCATATGGCGTTGCAGCTATTGCAAGAAGGGCTTGAAGCAGGAAGGGACCCGTCGTCGTCTCGCTCTGCTCGCCTGCCCGGCTCGCCTGCGTGCCGCCGACAGCAGCAGGCAGGATCCCCCCAATGCCGATCCTCCTGGTGACGCCTCGAGCGGCCAGGCAGGCAATGGGGATCAGACCCTGAATGCTGCTGCTAGCTCTGTCGGTGCTGATGTGCCTCCCCCTCTCGCTCCTGACTTCGTTCGGTCGGTGCGCCCTCGGGCGCGGTCCCCGCCCACTGGTCAGCCTGAGCCGCTGGAGGTCCGAGTTGGGGAGGTTGCCTCTGCTCCTCTTGCCGAGGGGCCCTCTCTCGCTCGTCCTCGAAGCCCCTCCCAGGACTCCACAAGTTAGGTTCGACCGAGGGTGAGCTTCGAGCCCGCAGTGATCCTTTGGGATGGTGTTGGGGACGCGCAGGCTAACGCCACTGCTCAGGTGCAGCCGCCTCCCATCTTAGCCCGTTTTGGACCACCATTTAGGCCTGAGAAGCGCAGAAGGATGGATGCTCAGGATCGGAGGGTGCACAGGCCGTCCCTCTCTGACTCCTCCGTCCCAGCCGAACCCCTCCCTGAAACGGGCCCCGCCCCCGCTCGGGCCGCGCGGGGTCACCGCCTTTGGGCTTGTTCGGGCCATGTGTGTCTGTGTGTTCCTTGCGGGTACTTTACCACGGGTACGGCTGGGCACTTGCTTCTTGATTGCCCGTCGCAAGACCCTTCGCACCGCCTGTCGCAACGGGCCCAACGAAGCCGACGGCAGTTTTTGGCGGCCTACCATCCCGCGGATGAGGGGCGCTCGGGCTCCAGGAGAGTCCCTGCCCCTCGTCCTCTCCATGCTCGGGACCCAGAGACTCTCTGGGCCAGGCTCCTCGGGAGCCCCACCCCACTGTCTCAATGGGGTCGTGTGGGCGCGAGGGCGGAGCACCTGCCTGCAGAGTGTCCTCCGCGCCTTACTTTCCATAATGAGTTTGTGCTCCGCATCCTCGCAGAGATCCCAAGGGTGGGCCTGGGTGCGATCGGAGCTCCCTGAGGGGGACGTCCGCGCCCGCCCTCGCTATGTTGTGTCAGGCAGTGCACTGCGCGTCCGCTCCAGCCAGCGTCGTATCCTCCTCCTCCTCCTCCTCCTCC